CAGTCATAAGGCAAGGAACACCATGGATCGCTGCAGCCGCCCGCAGCTGGAAAAGGTGAAGGAGGGTCCCTCCATCTGGCCGAGTCTCCAGAGGAAGCAAGTCCCTGCTTGACACCTCGACTTTGGGATTTGGGCCCCCAGAACCGTGAGAGATGCAGTCCCATTGTTTCAAGTCACTCTGCTTTGGGTTAGCTGCTACAAGTCTTAGGAAACTAATACAGCAAGGTAAGAGGAACTACTCATTTAGTTTATCTCTCTGGAAAATCATGGAACCAGAAAAAAAAATCACAGTAAAATCTACTCCTAAAAACCCACCAATAATATCATTAATATTGAAGACTGAATGAAACCATAGAAAGTCATCGTTTCACCTCATCAGTGAAAACTGACCTTTAAAACTATAGATTACAGTTGAGTAGCACATGGCCAACAAACCCTGCCCCTGCATGGACCAAGGGACAGATGACGACAAGTATGGTTGTCACATCCCACATTCTGCAGATGCAGCCTGTTTGTCCGGCTCTAAGAATTCAGTTTACTATATTCTCACCACATAGCATCCTTAAAGAGTGAGGAAAACCAGAGAGGTGTTTTCTGCCTTTGTCTCTAAGAAGCAAAAGTTGGAGTGGCATATAAAAATCTAAATCTTCTGGAACTAATGCTCCTTTAGTTATGGTTTCTAATTTTAAGTGCCTGAGCTTGATTATTGATCACAACGTGTCTTTAAATGAACAGATTAAAACTTTCTCCATAAAAATGAACTGTAAAAAAATGATAGCTGCTCTCTGGAGAATGAGGCACTGATCTCTAGACTTAAATTCCAGCTGTGAAGAGAAAACTCCCCTTCCGAGCATAAAGATCTGCTGCTCAGTATCCTCTCAAGCCCATTTCTCCCTCCTTCTCCCTGCACCTTGCCCACCTGGGGAAAATATTCGGACATCCTTCCTTCTTGATTTATCAGCAGGTACCTTATCAAGTCTACCAAAGTTAAATGAGAGCATTGTTCATTCTCCTCATCTCAAAATATAGGTCCCTTTGCAATGATAGCACTTGTAAACACCCAACCCGAATACTCAGTTTGGTTTAAAAGTCTTTTTACCTTTTTCACATAGATTGCTTGATGATTTTTATGACAGCTCTGAAATGAAACTTCGTAAAATCTCTAATAATGAAAAGAGTGATTGATTCAATCAAACTTAAGAAATATATGAGAGCAATAGCAACATATCAAGAACTCTGCTGTAGCTGCCACCTGTCTCTGCTGCAGCAACCTCACAAAGTGGACAGAGTGGCTGATGATTCCCACCCAAAACACAGCCGGCAGCCCATCCCCAGGAACTCTGTCTAGACACGTGCAGACAAAAGGAACTGGGAAGCCCAGCTCTGCAAAACAAAACTAGCAGCCTAGTGAACAAGAGATACCACTCCATCCAGGACATCCCCAAAGATGGCTTACACACAGCATGGATACCAACTCTACATACTCCGAGCAGGGGCTTCTGGAGCAAGAGTGTGTCCTAATATGAGTGGGGAGAGGCCAGGCAGGATGCCTTTAGGAAAAGGAGGCAGCCACACAGGAGAGGACGCACATGAGAGGCCAGGAGGGCAGGTGGAACCTGTGCCTGAGCAGACCACTTCAGGGGAGCCAGTGCAGGTTTGGGGTGGGGCTGGGAAACGTGCACTCCTGCCGAGTTCCCAGGTAAGGCATGCAGCTGGCTCATCTTGAATTGGCTATTGCTCAAGGCAGCAGGAGGTATTCCAGAATGGCCTGGCTGGCCAAACTATGGACTTGGATTTGACCTCCTCTTTGGACTCCAAAAATCTACATAAACTACTCTGCTCAGAAGTCCTCTACCCTGATTCACATAAGAATCATGGAGGGAGCCCTAATAAGGGCAGATGCCCAGGCTGATCCCAATCAGTTATGCCAGAATGTGCATGGGGACGCAGACACCCGGGGATTGTCAAGGCCTCCAGATGATCTGGGGTTCAGCTCGACTGAAGGGCACTTGCATGTCCCTGAAGACTGTGAACACTGGGTCCTCGGCACCCCTCCTGGACTCCACAGCCTTCCAACAGACATGGGGAGCTTTCTCCACTGGGTAGATCCATCCACAATGAAGAGAGCGTAGGAAGTGTGTGTTTGTATTGGTACCTGAAAATGTTACCACCCACTTCACTGCAGTTTTGGAGAGCAGCTTCTTTCCTTGGGGCCACATAGAGGTGGTGAAAACAGCAGACAGGAAGACAAACTGATTGCTATTCTCTGCCTATCTCCAAAGCCACCCATGTGGAGACAGTCTCCCATGGGGCCTATCCTATAAGGAATCTTGTCATGTTCCCATTGATATTGGGAGGCCATGGTTTGAACTCTGCAAGGAGATTGCATCTCTTGGCTAAAGAGAGGCTGTCTTTCCCCAGATCTCTCCCCACTTATCTGTGGTATTTCAATGATTGACAAACAGAGAAAAATATATTTATTTAGGGATTATCTATATTGAAAACTAGACATGGGATTTTTTTCTCTGTCAACATTGTGGTAATATCAGCTATTTGAACAAAAGGAGAGGTATTTTTCCATTCAATCCTGAATGCTGAGAATTCTCCAGTTTATATTCAGAAAGACATTTGGTTTTATTGATTGTGTTAGTTGAATAAGTTTGAATTCCTATAGCCAGGCAAGGAGGAGGTTGGTTTTCTCTTTATTGTAAAGGTTATTGGAGGAAACCAGTTATAGAAGTTGTTTGTCTTTAGACGATCCTATAGAATCAGAACCACTCAGATCTGTTCCAGAAGTTTGGTTCAAAGCCAAATTCTTCAACAGTCTCAAAAACCATGATGTCTCTTCTGGCGATGCTAATTTTATTTTTTAATACTTTGCTATTCTAAGGAGTGCTTTGTTATCAGTGGAGAATTATACATTTCCCTGCTATTAATTGGGGAGAAATTTTTAAATTGCACTCACAGTCTGAGAATTAATAGGCCCTATTTAGAATGTCTGTAACCCAGAGTCTTGCTCTGATGGTAACCTTTCCTTGGCATACTTTCCCAGCATCCTTTGCTGTAACGGTGACCTCTTATTGGCACACTTTCCTTTGCAGCATCCTTTGTTCTTACAATAACCTCTACGGGCACACTTTCCACCATCTTCAAATCTGAAAAAGAGATACTAAAAGACAGCGACTTTGCTGTATTTCTCCTCGGTTTTTGGTCTTTCTTCTCATCTCAGATTTAAGAGAATGAGCCACAGCCCTGGGTCAATACTCAAAACCATTAGTGTTATTCTTTCAAGGAAAAGCTCAGGCACCACAAACCTCTCCTGGATTTTGCAGATATTCTGTAAATCGTCAGGGAAAAGCAAGGAAAAGATAGAAGAACCACATTTGGCATGTCAGAGCATAGTGGTAGAAATACAGGTGGAGGCATGAACATTATTGCCAAATGGAGGGGTCCTTAAATATCAGTAATAAGTACCTGCGCTTCTTTCCGAAATGTCCTTTCCCTTGAAACCTTTTGACATTTGCCCTTTGATCGGAGCCCGCGTGTCCAAGGACAGCCCTTCCCTTACTTTCTGAGAGAATGATGTGACTTATAAAAATGACCACAATATTTTTTAAATGAAGTTATGCAAATCTGATAGACTAAAGTAAATGTTTCATAAAACCAATGACTGTTTAAATTGTAGGACTAAATTGTTTGTATATAAATATTACCTTTTATATTCCATTGGAGTTTTATGTAGATGAACACATTACTTTAATGACCTGCATTTACAGAGGGAGAGTGTAAGAGTTGCTCCCTGAAATTCTCGCCAGCCAGATGGCTGCCTTTTCTTGCATGAGATTAAAAGATGTTTCTCATTCACCGCGATGCTTCTGAGGCAAATTAATATCGCCAGCTAAATTGCTTGTGTTTTTGGAATAAAATTTAAAGAGAACTTTTTAAAGCAATTGGTGTCACAGGTTCTCAGAGCAGATTGCTCTCCAGGTAGAGAGACATTCAGTAATTAATGGAAAGAATTCTGTGTTAATTGACTGCTTCGGGAAGGGAAATATAATGACTCCTTATTAATCATGAAAAGAGATGTACGGCATGGAGGCCCCACAATAATTGCTGGAACAGTGGAGAAATGTTAATTAATGAAGAGAACAATGATGTAAGAAATTAGCTGCATAATGCTTGCCACCGATGGAGGTTGGATTTTAAACACATTATTTGGAGCGAAAACCACAAAATGTTGCCTCCAATAACAGATACGAGGAAACTCTTGCCACCAGAATTCAAGGGGGAAAATCCTTCCGGTGCTCCTGGCATCCTTGGTTGAAGAAGCTCCGTTTGCATGGAGCTATATTTATTTCAAAGAAAATGGCCTTGTCTTTTTCTCTCTGATCTGGACTTCTAAAATCACAATCATCCCCAGACCAAAACAAGGTCATTGATTTAATGTCATTTAATTTCAACACAGTAGGTCATTCTGACTGCTAAGGACAAAGGGAGGGGAAGACAGTATTTTTCCCTAAACTGAAATAAACGAATTGAATTTCTGATATTTCCCAGCTAATATAAAGAAAAAATTCAGATTCGCTTTGGGGACAGAGTGTCTTTTTTAAAGAATCTAATTTTAAGTCCCCAAGAGAACATATAGCTTCTTCTATGTCTAACAGCTCATTTTCTAGAGAAGGAAGCTGAGTTTATTAACATGCAGAGGCGCTGCTAGCTCAGTCCCACTGCGTTGGAGCCACTCAGAATCATTAGTGGCCACAGGCCAAGGCCAGCCTGATGGCTCTACTGTGTCTGGGCAGCTCCCAGGCAGGCCCTTCCAGCATCTGCATGATGGGAAGAGTGACACCTCGAGGACCAGTTTGCTGAAGGGCAGAAAGAAGCCCACGCTGCACAACAGGCTGCTCCCACGGTGCCCCGGGTGGGCAGAGGGCTGCTGTCCCTGTGCCCTCCGGCAGGTGAGAGAATCCCACCCACTCCACCCTTGATTTTCATTCCAGGTGGAACGTCCTGGGACTACAAGGAGCTCTCCTCTGTCACTTCATCGAGCCTGTGTACCTCCACAGCATCATCGTGGGAAGCCTGCACCACACGGGACACCTCTCTCGGGTCATGAGCCACAGGATGGAGGACATCGGCCAGCTGCCCACGTCATACCGACACAACCGGCCTCTCCTCAGTGGTAAGTAAACACCATCGGGGAATCCACAGTCTCTTCCCTATCAATGGGCCAGCTGCAGACAGCCCCCCACGGTACCACTGCCAAGTCAGAGGCAACTGTATTAATTCTGATGAGTAACTGTTGAAGATAATGAGCAAAATTTCAATGATCTAAAGACTTAAAAAAGAAAAGGAGGCAAAACAGTATGGCTCTCTGAATACAGGAATAGGCAGTATTTTAGCCAAATTCACAATGGGACCCAGCACATCTCAGGTCACTGTGACATTTTCACTGCAGTGTATAAAGGAGCCAGTAAACATAGACCCCACTAATGACCTGCCTAAGAGGCCCCAGCATCACCACCCCCCGGGACCCTTCTACAGGCAGCATTGCAGAGGGACATGCAGGTGGGGGAGGAGGGGCAGGAGAAGGAAGATGGCAGCCAGACCCCAAGGCCAGAAGTAGGTCTGCAGGACCCAGGGTCCCTGTGCTCTCAGGGGCAGGACGGAGTGGGCAGCAAGGTGACTCCATGAGCTCTGAGCCAGGCCACAGCTCCTACCTACCTCCCACAGAGTACAGGCATCCTTAGAGATCCCTGGCACTTCATCCTGCCTTGGCATACAGCTGGCCACAGGGGTCATGGGTCACACAGCCATGAAAACATTGGGGAACCTGTCAGGTTCTGTGTGCACTCAAAAGAAACCAATAGGAAGTCTTAAGGGCTTTTTTACCCTTGAGACTTTACCCATTTACCCACTGTGCCCACTGGTCTTCCACATTAAGCAAACGTCCCGGTTTGTGGAAACGAATGGAAGGAATGTGTGGATTTTAATAATGCTCTGTAAGCCTCATTGTGGGGTCATGGAGGAAAACACTAGGCCCTTGGGTCACCCCCCTGGCTGAGGAGGAGAGCTCTCTTCAGAGACTGCCGGTGGCAAAATCAGACACACTGAGGAAGAGGCGGAGATACCTGTACCCAAGGGAGGAACAGCCTCTGCTCCAAGATCCTAGGGACCAACACCCCTGAGCTTTGCTGCTTTCGTTTAAGACTAGATCAACAGAAAGAGAAAACATAAGATTAAAAAAGCTAATTTTAGTGTTGGAGATGGAGTACTTGGGCCTAAGATTTATTCCCAAGATTCCAAATTTTTTCTACATTACAAAACCAGAGGCAAAGTAGGGCCTCTTGGGAGCAGTGGTGGGATTTAAAAGAAATAATTCATGCACAACACATAACTACGCTAGGCAGGTACTTAAGAAAAGATGTCTCCTATCACAAAAGTGAATCCATTTCTTCATTTTTTCTACAATCTCGACCATTCAAAGACTGAACACCTTCTATGTATTTTTGTGGGAGATAAGATCACAGACTTTGAAGTTAAAATACAGAAGGAAGAAGAGGAGAGGTTTCACCTCTATATATCCCTAAGAGATCATTGCACCTTCATGTATTAAAATTTTTAAATTTATGAGACCCTATTCCTAATAGTCTGAAATCCCACCACCTTTTCATTAGCAGTGGAGAGACTTTCGTGGCATTGGATTCAAAACAAAATCATGTTGGGACTGGTTTCCCCTGTTGTCACATCCACAAGATCTCCCAGAATCTTGTGAAGGAGAACTTGTAGTGAAAATTAGCGAAATTCAACAAGCTATTTGAAAGAGGTGGCTATATTTGATCCAGAAATGTTAAATAGATGTTAACTCATTAAGGTTTTACCTTTCTTTACTAGGACATGGAGCTGAGCTATTGTGGAAGGGGTGATTCCTTTACTACCATCCTCGGGATAAGTTAATATTAATAAAGCAAGATGGCACCTCCAGGCTAGGGGGACCTTACCTTCAGTGCACCTGCTCTGCTGCTATTTATTCTTTGTCCCCTATCCCTACTTCTGCCCTCAGTGGATCACCTATCTCCTTCAACCTCCACAGAGGTGTTGTTGAGTCTTAGTCACTAAGTGGTCTCTGATGTGCCTGGTGGGCAGAGTCTCAGTTCACCTCAAAGGTCAAAGCTAAAAAAAAAACTCTGCATTTTGATCCAACTGATAGCTGTGTCCAGGGCTGCAGAGTTCCATGGCCCAAATCATAACAGCTTTGGGGCAAGGAACAGCCTATAGGTAGTTTCCTTGCAGCTGAGAGGAGGTGAACATTGAGAGGCCTGATCTGAATGGGGCAATTATTATAAAGTTCTGAAGTCTCTTTCTAAAGATGGCTTGTATCATTTAGAGAAGGGAGTTCTTGAATAGGTATTGCCTTTGCAATATACCAAGTTCATGACATATATTTTCTCATTTGATCTTCATTCCAACCAACATCAAATGGTATTATCTACATTTTTCGTATGTCAAAAGAAATTCAGATAAATTCAATAACTTGCTGAAGATGTTCTATCAACAGGAAACAAGATTTGAATTCAGACCTGATTGATTATAAATCCTAAATTATTTCAATGCACCACACTGCATTCCATGGCAAAATAGTATAATTTCTTAGATATCTATTTTTTTATTTTTTTAGTTGTAGATAAACACAATATTTATTTATTTTTATGTGGTGCTGAGGATTGAACCCAGATAGAACCTCACACATGTGAAGCAAGCGCTCTACCACTAAGCCACAACCCCAGCCCAAAATGCCCATTATTTTTTTAATCACATAAAAATTAACAGTGCAAAGCAAGACTGTTACACTGAAGAGGTGGCAACATGTAACTAATGGCAAATTGGTGTGGGATAGGCAAGCCAGCCCACTGAAGCTTCTTGAACTTTCTTCTCTGCCCACTGTTCTCATGGTCTCTGAGATAATACAAAGGACCCGCCTGTTGCAAGCAAGGAACTGAACGATTTGCCTCCAACTCTGACTCTGTAGAGTCTAAACAGTCAATAATTTCAGCAATTCTGATAAAATATTACTTTGGGCTCAGATTCATCCTCTTATTTGCTTTCATTTTTCCTTTCTTTCTCTCTGCCATCTTTTCTTGAAATCAACTTCTTACTGTGGTTGAATGGCCAAAGCAGCTCTGAACAAGATCCAGCGTGACTGGTTTGGAACTAGTTGAAAACGTTCTCATATTGGGTGCCCCCCAAAATGTAGTGTAGTTCCTAGATTGATTTCCAAGTTAAATTTGAGTTTGCATCTATTTGGATGAGTTACAAGTTCTTTTTTCATGATTTTGGCTTTTTGGGTTGTCCACATTCTTCTGTGTTTATTTACTAATAAAGAATTATTTAAATTTCATAGAACAAGGAAATCAAAAATACAAATACAATCATTGTTACCAGGTTGTCACTGTCAAGGAAATAGCTTCTATGCCTCCTTTGGGTACCAGCACATTACTTTCTGGGCATCCAGCCTCCATGATATGCTCTTTTTAAATGATATATTCATCCAGGAACATATCAACATAAATAAAATGGGAATTATCTTTTTTTTCTTTAAATGTGAAATCAATGAATTTTTAAAAGACAACAAAGAGAAATACAGAGTAGTCTGACATGGTTGGGTGGTGTGACATACATCAAAGCTTCTGAGACCCCTTTTTTACCCTCTCATTCAGGTGACATCTGTCCCATCACAGCCAGGCCATTCTGACTAAATGCTTTAGTCTGTGCTTAGGTGTTTATTTAGAACATGATTTTCACTATTGTAGAAACTCGAATGAGCCTAAACCTTGGTATCTCACCTGCACCCAACCTCCAAACAGTGACTGCATTGGTCTTGATGGGTATTTAAAAACCAATCATGCAAATTTTGAAAGGAAATCATCAGAATGTCTTGCAAAAAAAAGGAGAGAGGTCTTGCGTAAAGACATAATAAAAAGCACACTCAAACAAGCCAATGAAATTTGCTCGAAGCTTCCTCAAGGTCAGTTTGCAGAACTGCTGAGAAGATGAAGTTCATGTATTAGTAAAATGAAGGCCTACAATTTAGATATGGCTTACTCAGTTTTGGTTTAGAAAGAAGCAGCCAAGCTGAAAAAGAAACCCTTATTGATACAGTCATAAGGTGAATATTAATATTCTTGCAAGACATACTTGAGGACTTCTGCACACTCCCAGCTAATCTATGGCAAACTTCAGGACCAGAAGCCCATTGAAAAGCTGTCAAGATCCAGAATTCCTCAGCAGAAGGTGCCCTGTCACTCAAGAGCAGGTACCCAAAGGGAGGTTGCCATTGATCTTTCTCATGAACTCAGCGAAAATAAAATGATAAGCATAATAATTAATAAAACTCTGAACTTGAATACTCATCTTTTTAGAAAAAATATGACATGAAACAAATTGAATTTGACACCTTGCTCTACCAAGCTCAGGATATATGCTTTTGTGAACTCTTAAACTCAAGTCTAAATTTTACTTTTCTTCATTAAGAAAAAATAAATCACATCAAAGAGAAAAATCTGGAGAGGATGGATAAATTCTTTGTTCAAGTCAATGGCTTATTTAACGGATATATTTTTCAATCCTGAACTTCCTTTGTTCACAACAAAGATAAACCTGTATAATTTTTTTAAAAGTATGCAACAAGATCTTGGCAATGAACTTGAAACTTGAGAGATAATTCCAGAGAATTGATTGCTAGAACCATGAGTTATTAAAGACTCTTGGCCTACGTTCATGTGATGGACATTACACTACTGGTGATGAAATAGATCATCAGCCTTCTTTCTTCATAATACACATTTTCCTGAAATAATAAAACTGGATAGTTGGCACGTCTATCAGAAGATCCTTCAGACATTCATGTTGCATAGCAACTTAATTAATCAGAAGTTTGTTACTTACAAAAATGTTCACCAACTATAACTTGAAAATTTTTACCCAAAACCATTCTATTTTTTGCATTTTAGATGCCTCTCTGATGCTACTTATATTCATATCTTTGTGTGAGTTCAGATTTTTAAAATATTATCACACTAAATTGAAGAATCTTATATAAATGTCAGGCCTCTTTTAATTCAGGAGAAATTTCTGAAATTAATGATCAATAGTATTTTGCAAAATAATTCACTGAGGTGATAG